GCTTCATAGCCCTAAACCCTATAGCCCTATAGCCTTGCAGCCCAATAGCCCTACAACTCTATAGCCCTATAGTTGTATAGCCCTATAGCTCAATAGCTATAATCCCCCAGCCCTATAGCCCTGATTGGGGTTTTTCTCCGGTCTCATTTTGTGGCTCAACATCCTTTGCTTTCAGAACAGATTTGGAGCATGTCTCAGGCGGGGCTCTGGTTTCGGAACCCTTGAGGGCGCTGGTGTCCTTCTCTCTCGTGCTCCTCCGCTCCCTCTCCTCTGCGCTTCCTCCATGCACCTCTGTCGCGTCCTCGCTCGGGCCTCCGGGGGCCGACTCGGCCTCGGGGGGTTGGCCTCAAGTGGCAAATCCCGTGATCCCGTGATCCACAGGGCGGCAGGGCGTTCTTGGTTGAAGGTCGTCTTCGTTGCACCCCATGTGGGTGAGTGGAAACATGGCTGATGGCGCAGAAGACGGGGTTCTTGTTGTTACCCTGGCGCTGCGACGTCCTCGGGGGCAAGCGCCGCCGCCGTCGGCGCAGACACGCGCTTCGCTCGGGCGCTCGACGGCCTTCTGGCATGGCTGGCTTCCGTGGGCGGAGCTTCGACTGTCGGAGCAAGTTGCGCAGATGTGGTCCCGCGGAAACCGAGGCGGCCATATCTCAATTGCTGGATGACGGCGCCGTTTACGAGACGATCGATAACCATATCCAGGTGCTGGAAGGGTACGCTGCTTATTCCAGCGCGGCTGCGAACGAAGGCGACGGCGTCAACAGGGAGCTGGGCGACGCGTGGGGCATGGCGGAGGGGGCCGACCAAGAGTCCGACATGGCACGACTGGCAGATATGAGGTCACAACCGTAATGGTTCGCGCTGTGCCACTCGCCCCTCGCCCCGATGCCAGGTGCAGGCGGCTTCTTTTTGCGTTGCCAACCAGGCCCGATGCCAAATGCGGACGGCCAAAGCCGAGGCGCAAACCGCGATGGTGCCATTTGTAGCACTTGCCTTTTTTTCACGCCATGTGCCTACGGCTTCTGTTTGCGTTGCCAACTAGGCCCGATGCGCAGTGCGGACGGTCAAAGCTGAGGAGCTTATCGCGAGGTGCCGTTTGAAGCTCTTGTCTTTCGTACTCTTCCTTGGTGCTTCGGACGCGGTACCAATGGAATTCTTTGCCTTGGCAACAAATGCGCTAACATATGCGTGTGAACGAATGTGTACATGTGTTGACTGTACAGCCGGGCTGCGCGCACGTGTGCTCGTCGCTCACATGGACGCGGGCTTATATCAATACTATCATAGACAGGTGCCCACCATGGCACTATCCTACAGCATGAGTTGCACATGTAGCTCATATGGCTAAACGCTCATATACATTTCCCAAGTACAAACCTTTAACAGCGATCCACATATGGGGAGCTCCACGTAGTGAGTAATTCGCCTCCTCCTCACAGTTGTGACCGTGGTGACACTGATGTTATACCATGATGGTGACAGTGATGATGCTGATGGTGATGTTCATGATGCTGCTGATGATGATGAGGGTGCTGCTGCCGCTGATGCTGCTGCTGATGATGGTGACGATGCCGATGGCGTATCATATTCTGAGGATGCCTCGAGCGAGGCGCGGGTTTCAGCACCACCAAGGGGGAGCCGCCAAGGGTATTGCACTCCTCCGTTCGCGCCAGAAAAGCGGGGATCCCTCGAACGGTTTGCCTGTTTCAAGACGCACCATTCTCACCTTTCGGAGCAGATTTGGAGGATGTCTCGAGCACTGCGTTTTTTTCGCCCCCCAAGGGGGGCCAGAGTTCGAGGATGTCTCGAGCGGTTTGCTTATTTTGCTGGCCAGGCTCGTGGGCACGGATCCTCTTCAGGATGCCACAGGAGGCTCCAGCAGGCTCCAGGAGACCACAGGAAGTATTGCACTTCTCCGTTCGCGCCAAAAGGGCGGGGATGTCTCGAACAATTTGCCCGTTTTGTGGCCCAACATCCTCCGCTATCGGAGCAGATTCGGAGGATGTCTCGAGCGAGGCGCGGGTTTCAGCACCCCCAATGGGGAGCCGCCAGGGGGCATTGCACTCCTCCGTTCGTGCTAAAGTTACGGGGATGCCTCGAGCGGATTGCCTCTTCGTGGCCCAACATCATCAGCTTTCGGAGCAGATTTGGAGGATGTCTCGAGCGAGGTTCTCTTTTCGCTCCCTAGTGGGACCAGAACTTGAGGATGTCTCGATCGGTTTGCCTGCTTTGGTGGCCAGACTCGTGGGCACGGATCCCCCCCATGATGCCACAGGAGGCTCCAGCAGGCCACAGGATGTAACAGGAGGTCCCAGGAGCCATCAGGAGGTTACAGGAAGACCCAAAAGGCATCAGGATGCCCCAAGAGGCTCCAGGAGGCCCCAGGAAACTCCAGAAGGCCTCAGGAGGCCCCAGGATGCTCCAGGAGTCCACGGGAGGCCACAGGAGGCCCCAGGAGGCCACAGGAAGCGCCAGGAGGCACCAGGAGGCCCCGAAGGCACCAGGAGGCTCCAAGATGCCCCAGGAGCAGGAGGCCTCAGAAGGCCACAGGAGTGGCTCCAATCCCATGCGTTGTACGTATAGATTGTACCCCCCCGGATAACGAATCCTTAGTGTTCTACATATGTTTGTATATGTTGTCCTTCTCCGGTGTCTCCAATCCTAAGTGTTTTACGCATGCTCCTATACATTGGGCCTCCCCTGGGGCACGAGTCCTTGGTGTTTTACGTGTGTTCCTATATTTCGCTCTCCTCCTGCGGCTCCAATCCGCAATATTTTATGCACGTCTGTTCCCATATATTGGACCTCCCCTGGGGCACGAATCCTCCCCAGGAGGCCCCAGGAGGCTCTAGGAGGCTCCAGGAGGCCCCAGGAAGCCACACGAGGCCCCAGGCGTCATCAGGAGGTCACAGGACCCCAAGAGGCCACACGAGATCCCAAGAGGCTTCAGGAGGCCCCAGGAGGTGTCACGAGGCCCCAGGAGGCCCCAGGCCCATGCGCAGAGACGCACTAGTGCTACTGAGACTCATTCACACTCCAATTCATTCACAATTCGACTCATTCCCAGACCGTCAATACTCAAGCCCGTGAATATTCCAAACACTCTTGTGCTTATGCACTCACGGCGGACAGGTTCATGCTAATAGGGTGCACAGAAGGGGAGCTCCTCGCAGTGGACAAGTCCTCAGGCGTTTGAAAGATTTGAGGTTCTCGTCTGTTCGGGTTTCCGACCGCCCAAGGCGGCCCAAGAAGCCTCGAAGAGGCCTCCAAGATAGCCCCAATGCAGCCCAAGAGGCCCCCAAATCGGCCAAAGAGGACCCACAGATCGCCCCAACAGCCTCCACACACGGCCCCAAGACGGCCGAGGACACCAACGCGGCCCAAGAGAGGCGGGCAAGAGTCCCCTAAGACGGCCCAAGAGGCTCCAGGAAGCCCCATGAGACCCCAAGAGGCCCCCAAGAAGCGTTCGGGAACCTCCCAGGAGGCCCCCAGGAAGCCCCAGGAAGGCCCCCCAAAAACCTTCTCCTCTTCATCCTCATTTTCTCCCTCTCCTCCTCCTGCTCCTCCTCCTCCTTCTCCTCCTCCATTCCTTTTTCTTATAAAGCAACTCCTCCCCGCCGCACCCCGAGGCCAGTCGGAAGGGCGGGACAGGCGTTTCGCTTAACATTTCATCACCATCTATAACCCTGACGCGTAGAACGTTGAACACAATTTCACAGATGGAGGGCGGGCCGCGGCCAAACTGTGGCTCTCGCCTTAGCGCCGCACACGTTCGTCTTAAACACGTGCAAGGGTTCCACGGGTTGTGGGCGGGCGGTTTTCAAACTGTGGCTCTCGCCTTAGCGCTGCGCACACTCGTCGTACGCATTCGCAACAACTGCCCATATTCAAGGCTGCTCGTTCTCAAAACGCGTCTCTCTCTCTCTCTCTCGCATTAGCGCCGCGTTCGTCTTCTGAAGTTGCAGAAGTTTGGCGGGCTCCCATCGCCAGCGTACCAGAAATGGTATTCTGGAGCGATTCACGATTGCCAGGGCGCAACTGTTCTGTTCATTCGCGGTGTTGAAGTCCTGGGAGCGGCGTTCTGGCTCGATTCGGGGTCGTCAAGACGCAACAGTCAAGATGATTCGTGGCGTTGAACTTCAGAGAATGATGTTTTGGCACGCGCCAGGATCTTCCAGCGGTTGTCTCCCAACGGGGCACTTCCCTGAGTGGAAACGAACCCTTGCGGGGCCTATGGAGAGGGAGCTCGGAGGAAGGGTTTATCCCAACATCGTTGATGAGTCTTGGGTTTAAGCTGGTCCTCCTCCTCCTCCTCCTCCTCCGCCTCCTCCTCCTCCCTACCGCGCGGACGAAGACGTGGTCGGGACCACGACCCGCCCCGATGCAGACTACTCGTCGGACTTGCGCTGTTGCACAGGCTGCTTCCTTCCTGCTGCGCTCCTCGGACCACTCGGCCTCCTTCCTGCTGCGCTGCTGCACAAGCGCGGTGGTGGGGTTTACCGCAAACAACTAGATAGATCTTGCTGCAAGAAACCGGGGCACGATACTCGTCGACCTTAAAAGGCCCCACGGCGCCCCAAAGCTCCAATGGGTCTGGTGCCACCGGGAGTGAAGGAATTTCCGTGGGGCACGTGCTGGCTTGCCGATTCTATATTTGACGTGCCTGCTCTGGGTGGGGTATTCATCAAGGGGGGGGGTTGCCCTTTCGACGGAGCTTGTCCCTCTCCCCCCCTCCCTTCTCCTCCTAGTCGTCGTCCTCCTCCTCCTCCTCGTCCTCCTCCTCGTCTCCTCGTCCTCTTCTTCCTCGTCCTCCTCGTCCTCCTCGTCCTCCTCCTCCTCCTCCTCCTCCTCCTCCTCCTCCACCTGTGACCCCCGCCCCCTGTGGATCCGAGAGGGCGGGGGGCGGTTATCGTCCCACCCAACGTGCTGTGCCTCGGTGCGCGCCCATTCTCGAAGCGGCCACGCCCGCCTGGGGAGGCGCGGAGGCTGCAAGGCCGCAC